GAGAGAGAGAGAGAGAGAGAGAGAGAGAGAGAGAGAGAGAGAGAGAGAGAGAGAGAGAGACTCGGGCGGGGTCAGCACGACCAGTTCGGTACCACGTAGACGGCCTACCGGTTCGATAATTGCCAAAAACGGGAGGGCCTGCTACCTGTACCTTCTCCCAGGCCAGGCCAGGCCACGCGGTACCACTGGCTCAGGCCACCTCCCGTTTTTGCCAATTATCGAACCGGTAGGCCGTCTAATGCGCAGTTCACTGTTTTTCTTGCTGTTTCGAACTGCTCACGTCCCAATCTTGCAGTGGACTGTTATTTCTGCGAATTTTGAACTGTGCAGCAGTCACCGACGCACTTGTCTCAAACAAAAAAGAATCTGACCATATCGTTGAATGTACAGCTGGGTCATTGTCATCCAGGGTAACTTTTTTTCTTTTCTTTTTTTTCTTGAAAAAGTAATCTACATTCTTCTCTCAATTTTTCACCCAGGGTAAATTTGGAATTGGCTGTCAGCCAAAAGGGGTTTGTAACTTTGTATGCACAATTGGTGCTGGATCTGTCGAAGGAGGCAACAGTTCCAAGCGGTGGGTTGTGGAGAGTTAGGGTGCACGAATGCGACGTTTCTTCACAATCGGTGCCGGATCTGTCGAAGGAGGCAACAGTTCCAAGTGGTGGGTTGTGCAGAGTTAGGGTGCACGAACGCGACGTTTCTTCACTCTGGAGGAGGCTAGACGGAGCCGGTGTGTGGTTGTTCCAGTTCAACCTCTTTGTTGTTGCCGGTGGCGAGCCCTCCGCATGCGCCTCGCTTGCTAGGCGTCGTGCCGATGCTGTACGATCGAGTTGATTTTGTGTTTCTCTCCGCGTCGCGGGCGCTAACTTCCATAGCCTATAAACATGTCGAGCTCCACGTCCCCAATTCATTCTCTGCTTGCTGCTGAGGAAGAGGCGCAAGGGATTGTCTCACGAGCCAGGGCTGCCTGACAGCAGAAGCTGAAGCTGGCAAAAGAAGAGGCGGAAAAGGAGATGGCTCTGTACAGAGCAAAGAAAGAGGAAGAGTTCCGGAGCAAGCTGGAAGGGTTGGGCGATGAGAAGGGCTTGCGGTTGCAACAATTGGAGGAGATCACAGCTCAGAAATCAACGGAAATGTGGAATTTGGGGCAGTCTACGGTTGGAGATGTTTCTGACTGGCTTCTCAAGCTAGTGATGACCGTCTAATCGTCAGATCGTTCTTGTCATTGTTTCGTTTTCTCATACTGTGTGTGGGGAACTTCTGTACGGACCGTTCCTTCGCTCCGTCATCCCTTTTTCGTAGTGGTTTCCATTGGCTTCTACACCACAACTCAGCCGCGGAGGCTGCGGTCGTGAATCCTTCCTCAATCTTCCCGAATCTTCTGCCTGTTTCTCGAAGACTAGAATGTGCTGCAAATCATTAAATGTTATCGAAGAAAAAAAAAAGAAAAAAAAGAAAGGGGTTTGTAACTTTGTATCTAGGCTGTTTTTCCAGGCGCCCGGGCACCCAACTTATGCCCGGGTACACGCCCGGGTGCCCGGCCGGGCATGGATCGGAAAAAAGAAAATAACACGCCAGGGCACCCAAGTGACCCAACTTATCGTCCAAGGTACTCGCGAGGGTTTCCTGGCAGCCCCAGTGCCAAAAAAAAAATAAAAAAACAGAAAATTCCGGAAAAGAAAAAGTTGTGTAGAATAGCAATACAAACGACTTTTGGCTGAGGGTCACATTAGAATTCCTCACAGAATCATAGATAAAAAAGAAAATAACAGCATCAAAGGCACCCCCACTTAAACCCCTTTAGCCCCTTTTAAAACCAATTTATACCCACCTCCCCCCCCTTGACAGCCAACTCGCGAGAAAAAAAATGAGCCCGGAATTGGGGTCCTCTGGGAGAGCGCAGGAAACCACAAAAAAAAATAAAAAAATCTCTTTATTATTTACTTTTTGCACGCCCGGCCAGGCATGAGAATCTTCGTAGGTCTGTATTGCAATTTTCTTGCAACACATGTAACTTATCATCATATTTTTGAAACAATTTTTCATTTATATTATAAACTTATATAAAGTTAATAAACGTAATTAATTAATTTTTAAATGACTTTTGCCTGTGTTACCAACTGGGCCGCATGGGTCGCCTTGGTTGCCCGGGTGGCCCGGCTGGGCAAGGGTCAGGGAAGGTCCCTGTATTAAAAAAAGAAAAAATTCAAAAAATCCGAAAGAACAACTATATTTTGCAGAAGAATAAACTGAACAACTTTTTCGAAGTTTTTCCTCAGGGTCGGATTGCAATTCTTTGCCAAATAAAAAATAAATAAATAAATAAAAATTAAAAAATTAAAAAAAAAAAGTAATAATAATAATTATAATTCATTTTGGCCCGGCCGGGCAAGTGGTCCTCCTGGGCCACTCGCATAACATAGGTTTCTGCCATTTTGTTGTTCAAATTTTCAATTGTTCCTTTTTTTTTTTTTTTTTTTGATAAGTTTGGTGCTGCTGGGGACTGCCGGGAACCTTGCCTGGCCTTTGTCTGCCCGCAACCCCCGGAAATGCTGGGCCTCCCCAAACCTTAATCTTATCCCTTGTTTTGCTTCTTTTTGTTGTTTCCCCTCTTTCATTTTGGCAAAAGCTTAGCAGATAAATTCCAAAAGCTCTCAGAACTTCCAACCATCTCCTTTGGTCGACTTTATGTCTTTTCTAGGGGATTCATTTGGGTCCTTTTTACCTTTTCTGTTGTTGTTATTATTAATGTCATTGTTGGTCTTTTGTTTTCTGTTTCTTTTTTGTTTTGTTTTGTTTTTTTGTTTCAGCCCCTTCTGAGAATGAAACAAATGGTTATCTGATGATAGCTGTTGCTGGCGGCCTCAACCAGATGAGACTAGGGGTAAGCAAAAGCTCAGTGGTTTCCTTTGCTTTTCTACTTTTGTGTTTTTGAAAAAAATCCTCTTTTTTTGTTTTTTTGCAGCGCTCTTCTTGGCAATAAGTGTGTCATGCGCTTTGAGTTCCTTGCCTTCCTGATTGCCAATCTGCCATCCGCCATCCGCCATACACAATATGGGCGTAGTTGCACCACTTGCCATCCGCGAAGATTTTGAATGCATCATGATTCATGACCAATAGTAGTTACTGAACAATATGTATTTTAGGGCATCAGGCCCCGTCGTGCACGCACGGCCTTGAACTGGCACGCTCAGCCTCATGAACGAAGTGTCGTAACCACTACAATCCTTGAAGGTGTTATAAAAACTGGATCCATACCGGTCGTGATATCCAGCCCACCTCCAGGGCTGTAGCGTCCTTGAACTCACACAACACACACACAACACCACACCACACGACACCACGGACACGGCAATCAACACACTTCGCTCGGACAACACGCAGCCCCACCACCGCTACTTAACCTGGTCACTCCAAGGCGGGCCAACTGCCCGCGGGTTCCGCAGGTGCCTTCACAGTAGTTACTGAACAACGTGTATTTTAGGGCATCAGAGCCCGCCGTGCACGCACAGCCTCGAACCGGCACCCTCAGCCTCATGAACGAAGTCTCGTAACCACTAACCTGTCCAAATGCATTCAAATGTTGGCGGATGGCGAGCGGCACCGAACCAAGGAATTCTGAAATGCTGGAGGGGGGGGGGGGGGGGGGGGGGRGGGGGAACAATGTCCTGCAGCAGTTCCTCGGGACATCCGTTAAAGTTGGAACGATACAGAGAAAGAGAAGATTAGCATGGCCCCTGTGCAAGGATGACACACACACATTGAGAAATGGTCCAAATTTTTTGGAGGGGAAAAAACCAAAAACACTGTGATGCAGGGGAAGACTCAAATTTTACCCACATCTGACTCATCACACATGCCACTAACTTTGACCTCTGACCTTTGACCTTTGACCTGTTGACTTTGACGTCTTGTCCTTGTAACAGGTCAACGTTGACTTTTTCTGATTGGGATTCTCAATCAGCAGAAGTCAACGGACAGATCTCAAAAATCCCAATCAGCAGAAGTTAACGCGTCATGACCTCAAAGATGACCTTTTGAGATTTGTCCGATCGTCGGAGGTCAAAGTCAACGGACATGCGATGAACGGACAAATCTAAAAAATCTTTTTTTTTTCTTTTCTTTGGTGTTCGATTGGAAGCGGCTGAAATTCCGCTGAATGTTGTTCTCCTTCTCGGTCCGCTCTGAAATGACCAGAAATGAAGAAAGGAAACAGAAGTTTTTGAACCTTTTGATTCTTTTTTTTTATTTCTTTTCGATCATGTTGAGGAGTCAAAGGGTTGTCCCCCCTCTCAGACCATACACTCGTACTAGCACTTAGTTGATTCAGCTATGAACCTAATTGCAGCCAGATGCATGCATGCCTGGCGGTAAAAGCGATCAGATGCATCGAGGAAAGACCTGGTGTGAGTATATGCCCCCAAGGGGTGAGGGAAGAGGAAGAGGTGCATGCATGTGCAGATGGACTCCGATGACAAGATGAAGAGTAGGTATGCGTGCAGATGGCGAAATTAGAAAAGAACTGAACCCAGAATCCCCAGATATCATTTATAGACACTTGTTCCTTATCTCTTCCCTTCCCTTAAATGTTTTTGAAACTTGAGAGGTGGGCATCAGTTGCTGTTGAAGAAAAACAAGATGAAGATGAGAGGGGGAAAGCAGAAACGAGCGATGATAGATACATGGGGGGAGGTCCCATCAGCAGCCAGGATTTGGATTAAGTACCTGAATGTGGATGTGTTTTGTGCAGAGATGCAGAAAAGCAGCTCCATATCGATTTTCTGTACCTCTCCGCAAACACTTCCACATTCAGGTGTTAAATCCAGCCTCGTTGGCTAGTTGGACCTCCCTTGAGGCACAGGTGCGTAAACCGCATCTGTTTGCTTTTCCAAAAAAAAAAAAAAAAAAAAAAAAAAACTGGCATCCGTTCTCTTCGCTGCGCTATATGCTTGCTTTGAGGAAAATTGGATGCCAGGCGTTGGTCCTGCTGAACAGGAACATTGCGCAGGCCCCAATTTCACCTGAGTAAGGACAGCACAGGGTAGTCGAACGCGGCCCAAAACGTAGGCACATTACATGCACAGCAGGTTGGTTCATTAATTTTGGTGGTTTCTATGTGTGCATAGAAGGGGACGAGCGCTGGTGGGTGGACACTGACATCACCATCATGTGAACTGATTGAAGAATGGCAGGAAATTGTTGAATGCACTCAATCTGAGGTTAATCAGCTCATAAATTAATAATAAATATCGACCGGCCTTTTCACAAAGTCGAAAATACCAATTGAACAGAAGACTCTGCATAAGGTGCGTCCTGCCGACACAGTGGATGAAGCGCTGTTTGCACCTGGACTTCTTTTATCCTCATCAAGTGTGTAGAAATATGAAAAGTCCTATCTGTAAAAATCGGAACCCTACAGAGAAAATTAGCATGGCCCCGGCACACCTGAAAAAAACAAAAGGAAAAAAAAAAGGGGGGAAATTTTCCGAAAACAAAAGGAAAAAAAAAAGGGGGGAATATTTCCGAAAAAAACTTCAAAAGAAAAAAAAGA